AAGAGTATCTCTCACTCTCCTAAAGTTGGCAATATGCTACTTCACTTTTACAAAAGACCTATTACTGGTACAGTAATGGTTTTTTTGGTAAAAGCAAAAATCTTCTTCAGATTTTTTTTAGTTAACAAAAACAGGTATTAACATAGGTCTTTCATAAAAGTGAAATGGCAAGGGGCGCCTGGGTGGCTCAGTGGATTAAGCCACTGCCTTCGGCTCAGGTCATGATCTCGGGGTTCTGGGATCGAGCCCCACATCGGGCTCTCTGCTCAGCGGGGAGCCTGCTTCCCCCTGACTCTCTGCCTACTTGTGATCTCTCTCTGTCAAATAAATAAATAAAATCTTAAAAAAAAAAAAAAAGTGAAATGGCAAAACATCAACTTTTTGGAAAGCAGGGGATACCTGTATGCTGACAATGCATGAAATATGAAAAGTTCAGGCAAGAAATTAGAAGCCTATGAAACTGATGCAAAATAATATTTAAATAAACAGTCAAAAATATGGATGATTGAATTTTAGGATACAGTAGCACATCAGTGATCCAAAATGAGGGGGGGGAGTTTGAGATAAATAGCTCCCTTTGTCATATAATCTTTTCCCCAAAAATTTCCATTTAAAGACCTACTGCATCTTTAAATGTACAAAGAAATTTTAAACCTAACTTTTTTTATTCCAGTTGAATACATTCCAATGAATTTCTCTATACTGTGTTTGGAGAAAGCATAGCTAAGACAGAACCTTGAGATACATTTATTCAACGGCATAGTATTTGCCAAAAACTGACTAGCGATATACAAAATACTTATTTAAAATTAATATGCCTTGATCATAATCTGGCTATAGAGTATTTGCACTTTGCTCTCTTTTTTTTTATTCAACTATAATTAACATACAGTGTTACATCAGTATAATGATTCAACAATTCTATACATTTCTCAGGGCTTATCCATACTGCTTTGGTGTCATTCCATGACTAAATGAATCTTTCTATGGAAAATCTCAGAACTCTTGATGGTGTAACTTCCAATGTTTACAAATGGATTCTTAATTTAACTTGCAATACTCAACAGCAAAAATAAAATAATTCAAGTTAATATGAAAAGACTTACATGCCAATGTAAATTAAAATGCAGAAAATTCTCTTTTAATATATTAAGTAAACATAATTTTGTTAATATTAAGGACTTCCATGATTCCAAGATGCAACTACATATTTTTAAAATAAATTTAGTTCAAATGCAGAATATACCTTTTGTTTTTGAAATTCTATGTATCTTTAAAGGGAAAATGATTCTGATTTTCAAACTACAAACGAAAAAACTCTAAGAAAAGCTATTGTCCCATTCAATCACAAGAGAATCACTTAAAAATTCCCTGTTAACAAAAATACTATGATTCATATGCAAGAGAGGAGAGGAACTTTGCCCACAAAATCCCAGGTAAGTATCTTGTATTGTTTTCAATATAATATGCCATTCACATGTAAAAAAATGAAATTATGAGAGGAAGTATTTTTTTACAAGATACACTGATATAGCACTGTAATTTGGGAAAAAAAATTTTTAATCAAATGCTATAGAATTATACTACCTAAGACAACTATTCAAACCTGAATTCTTTCACTAAGTAAATATCAATCCTCTATTTTATCTTTTCTAAAACTATGTTTATATTAAAATCTTTGATAAAAAGAAACTTTCATGTTATTAACAAAGAACACATGATATTTACATAGCATTTACTTCAAGGAAAGAAAAACCTTATACAAACATATGTTAAGGGTGTTTACAAAAGAAGCACTCAATTAAGCAGTATGCCTATTTTATAACTGAAACAGGCAACCAAATTCCTTATCTAGAGTTAGGACTCTCTTATACTGCTACATTAAATAATTCTTCTTAAAGTCAAAGTTTGTTGATGATCAGCTTCTTTCACAGCTACACTGCAAAATTCTGGACACTATACTATCATTGTAACATTATTTATAAATTAATTTACTCATCTTCCTGATTCTGTAAATATAAATATTGGGTGCTATATTTTAACGTTTCAAGTTATCAATATCATTATACAAAATATATCCATCTACAATTGAAATTAATCACTTTATTTCTCTTTACATCCGTGATTCTTCGACAAATTCATAACCCATCTGATTAATGGAAACAGCTCTACCTTGGCAAACAAAAGCAGAAAAATTACAGCCATGACTGTGTAGAAACCCTATATTTCACTGCATACTTAAACTTCACTCAGCAAAACTTTTAATTCTTTGGGTAAGGCAAGAGAAAAATAACACCTGAAAACCAAGTATTAGTATTCTCATTTTATCTAGAGATATAGAATGTACATGAAAAATAGATAAATATTTTGGCAAAAGTGACTGATTAAGACTGTTTAAGTAGAAACTGTTTTGTTTTTAAGTTTCATCAGTTCCCCTCCTTTCTTTTCTGTCATAAATGGCACTGTGATAGAGATTTCACTATTTCTACCTACTTTTTTAATTTAATATTTTAAATTAAGATTGAATATTGAAAAAACTCACTTTAGAGATAATACTAGAAGCTTCTAACTTCTAACTAGTCACTAAGCTCCCTAAATGGATTTTACTGATTTACTTATTAAGTAAATAGAACTGTTTTGATAATTATTTTCTAAATGCCTATGATTTCCAAGTATTTTCAGAATCAGCTTGAACATGACATTTTTTTCATGAGTATATTAGCAAGATAAAGCCCTAAACCTACAGCTCAAGAAATATTACGCTTCAAGTGATCAATTTGTATTCTAAAATCAATATAATTAGCAACTTAATAGTAAATAGCTCCCTTTGTCATATATTCTTTTCCCCAAACGTTTCAAGAACTACTGCATCCTTTAAATATGAACAAAGAAATTTTAAACCTAACCTTTTTTATTCCAAAATCAATGAGTTACAAGGTCTTATGTGGATTTGGGATATAACATTTCAGTATTACCTTATTTCTGATTACTCCAATTAAGCTTAACAGTAAAGCTAATCTCTAACATAATGTTTGCATACTGAGACTTCACGCCAGATTTTCACTGCACTATAAGAGAGTTAAATTTCTTTTCTATCTCAAAAGAAGTATTTCACTTCCTTTCTTAACCTAACTGTATATGTATAGAACCCCATCTGTTAAGAACTGATCTGGCATACATCACTACTGCTGCAGAGTCCAAACTGGTTACACATTCAAATCAGTTTCCAGCTTGTGAGAGCTCTATTGCCTCTTACCATGTTAAAATGTACTAAGCATACAAACACTTATTAAAATAACCTAATATCACATGACCTAAGGTTAAAAAATGGTATTGGTTAGGTGAAAACTGGAAAAAAAACTTTATATGTGTTCTTTTAAATTTACAGAAATACAGTACCTGCTAACATACTAATATATTTTGAGATTTCATCTTGCTTGTTTTTTAAAAAGGCAAGTACTGACCTCCTATTTGCAGCTGGTTAAAAGAAACAATATTTCTGTCATTGTTTTGAAAAGAATTTGGTTATATCCAGGTGACATTCTCCCAAACTTACAATGACTTTTTTGGTGATTTATTTGAAAGGTAGAGTAGAAAGAGGTGTATTCTATTTAAAAAGTAATAATATAACAAAGCAAACACATATTCTTTGACTTGACATACTAGCAAAAAAGGAAAAAACGAAAGCAGCTTTAACTTTTCTGTGAATTTAAGAGGTTCATAAGACCACAGACATTAATCCACGTCTCAGGGCACCACTGCTGTAGTTGCAGCTTTCTTTCAGTTTTCCAATAGATGAAATAAAAATAATTGCTTGGCTGAAAAATCAGACTATATGGGTGTTATAAAAAATCTCCTTGTAAACATATTTTTACATTTCTGTGACTCCACACCAAATACAAGTCAACTGATCCGCTCCTGATTTAAGCCTTGTCTTCCCAAACCCTACCTTAACAGTGTGTCAAAGACTAGATATTGCAGAGGAAACTGCTTTAAAAGCTTTGCTGCAGCAAAACTGCATTTGCAAAACATTAAAAATGAACTACTCTTAATTATCCGCAATTTATGATTCTGCTTTCTTTATTTCTTCTCATTTCTTCCCCTGACATCTTGAACGCTTCTTAGCCTCTCTGTAGATAGCGCAAAACATTAAGTCATACACAGTTCTGCAGTAACTCTTTCTTATCATGAAAGAAACCAAAACCTACGGCTTCATTTAACACCTTGCCTTTAGTCTTTATCCAATGCCACGCTCTCGGAAGGCAACCATAGAAACCAACCTGTATGATTGGGTGCCCTCACATTTTAACACCTTGTGTGCATTAAAAAAAAAAAAAAAAAAATGACTAAGAGGTCAGCATACCCAGGGCAGTATTACAAAGAAAGAAGGCTGCCTAAAAAGAGATGGGGCGGGAAGGGGGGGCGGTGCAAAATACAGCCACAACACTCTCCATCACAGCCTCTGAATATATTTAAAGGCAGATGCAAAACTGCATCATTTTCCTCATTTAAAAACATCACACCCCAGCTGCTCAAGTTAGAGCTAATGCGCTTCTCACATTTCGGTAGCACGGGGGAATTTAGGCTCTAGGGGCAAGGCTTTCATCCTCGGAGAGCGACACCACAGACAATTAAGAGTGTAGAAGAAAGAACCCCAGAGAAAAGGAGGCCTCCTCTCCCCCTAACTAAACTCTCAAGTCAACCCAAAACCTGCACGGCAAGGAATAATTTCTGCTCATAGTCAGGAGAAGTGATAATAAGCGGTGTTAAGTTGGGCACCGCACTCAGGAGGCAGGAGAGGACCAGAGGAGAGCTGGGAGGTGGGGTGGCTAAGGCTGCGCGCAGGCAGGTCACCCGCTGGGCAATACCCGCCCGACGATCGGGGCTCCCAGGGACGCGCAGCGTGTGCGACCCTGGGGGTGGAGGTGTGTGGGAGCGAGAGGCTGGGGAGGCAAGCTATGGGGGCTGGGAGCAGATGGAGAGCACGCCTTTTCCCTTACCAGGTTGAGCACCGTCTCCACGATGTCCCTGTTGCTGACCTCTCCGACCTGTATGAGTCCAATCAACACTGCGAATTTCATCCGGATGTTGCGGATCGGCACCGAAGGGTTAATCATCCCCGCGGGCAGCACCACCGAGCCGGAGCCGGACGCCCCCCTCAGCTCTCCCATCCCACTGCCCCCGCTGCCGCCACCGCCGCTGCCGCCACCGCCGCTGCCCCCGCCGCCTCCGCCTCCGGCCCCGACGGCGATGAGCCCCACGGGCTGAGGCTCGAGCCCCGGGCCCGGGCCCGGCTTCTCGCTCGCCATTTGCCCCCCTCCTGGGGAGAAGGGAAAAGCAGAGGCGCTGCCTCCGCTGGTACCGTTATACCTGCCTCGGCCCCCGCCCCCCGGCCGTCGCCTCGGAGCCCCAGCATCCACCAGCGCCGCGGCGCCGGGCCCGCTCCCGCCTGCGCGTCAGCCCGGCCCGCTCCGGCGCCCTCCCCGGCGGAGGCGGTGGGTTATTCCCAGGCTTATTCCCGAGGGTGGCTGCGCCGCTAACCGCTGCCCTGCGAGCGGCCGTGCCCGCCCAGCAGCTATACCGCTGTCGCCGCCGCTACCGCTGCCTCCTCTCTCTCCCCCTCCCGGTCCGTCCGGCCCGGCCCGCCCCCCGCGGAGATGCGGCCGCCGCTCCGAAAAGCCCTAGGTGGCGAGCAGCTGGCCACGACGCTGGCCGGTGCTGAAGCTCAGGCTGTGGCCGACGCTACTGACGCTGCTGCTACTGCTGCTACGGGCGCCACTGTTGTTGTGAAGCCCCGACGCCGCCGCTCACTCCGCCATGTTGCCGCCCCCTGCCTGCGGTAGCGGCCACTGCGCCTGCGCAGAGTCTCCGGGGGCGGAGCCCTCGGTGCACCCCCTCTTTTGCCCTGCCCTCCTTCTCTTTTCCACCCACCCACCCCGACACCCCTCGTCCCTCCCCCAACCACCCTGAACTGATAGACAGGTGAGCAGGTGCATGGGGACCAATGCCAGACCCTGGGGCAAGCTGGTAGAGGCGGGACAGGTAGTGGCTTCCTTGTACTTTTTCCCTAGAGGGTGGATTCTCCCAGTGGGGAAGGACACAGTGAGTGTGTGTCTTGTCTTCGCTGCCTCCTCCTCCTTCCTTCAATATCCTTTTGCTAAGAGGAGGTTCATCATCTTCGTCTTCATCATTGCATCCAGCAGCTGCCACTGCCAGTGCCACGTGCCTTGTAAGGTAGGGGAGTGGCAGACGACCTCTTTCTGCCCCTCTTCGTCCTTCCTCGCAGTACTACCCGCCTAGCGCCCCCCCAACCCCCAATTTCCCAAATAAAAAGTGGCTGGCAAAGCAGAAACAAACGCACCATGGGGAAAGATCTTGCATTGTCGGGGAAGGATACAGATGGAGTGTAATGGGTCTTTTTCTACAGCTATGAAAGAGGCTGACACCTGCACACACAGGCACGACTTAAAATAGAACTTGTCAAACAGTGATCCGCTCTGGATGGAGCTCTGAACAACAAACAGCTCTTGAACTCACCTATCAGCCTAAAAAGGCTGCACTGAGTGACACTATATGGTAGTTTGGTGGGAGCTACACATCCCATATTTCAGAAATCTCTTGAGATCTTCAGGTATGATGCCAACTAATGATGCCTCCCTTTTCCTTAGTCATGTACAATTCAGAGGTTTTTGAAAGTATCTAAAAATATAGGTAATCCTCATCACCAGCCTTAATGTGCAAAACAAAGTAGATTACTATAACTGTATAAATATAAAACAAAAATATTATTGCTTAAGAAAATTAAACTGTATACAGTAATCTTGCTGCTAGTCCTGAATTAAAACTAAACAGGCATGACTGCTGTTTTCTCCTTTGAAATGAAGGATTAATTTTCTTTAATATTTCATGAAGCATGCCCTTTTCAATAAAGATATATTACAAGCCACCAGAAATAGTTGGTATCTGGAGGTATATTCAAGTCATTCTAATTGTCATCTCCAATAAACAGAGTCAATATACAAATCTATCATAACCCAGTTATTACTCATATTTAACTGGGCCAACTAGTCAAGTTAACTCTCAGGATATTGGAACATGGTAAAATTCTAAGGTACTATAAGTTATGTATAACAAAGCTCCTCAAAACCAGCACTTACGATTAGTTTTTAGTTGTTTTAAATTTGCGCTGAATTGGTTGAATTAGCAAATTGAATTGAATTATTAGCAAAAAAAAAAAAATCCTTTTGAAAGAAGTGGTAATTGGTATGTCCATTTATATTAAATAGCAATTGAATTATAAAATGCTTAAATGATTGAAACTGTATGAAAAACTTGCAAAACCAGTAACTTTTAATAGTGTGACTTAGATATGCTATAATTTAAAAATCCTGCAACATATATAACTGCCTAGAGCCTTTTATTTATAGTGTTATCTACTTTTGTGAGCACAATTTTCATTTGTAAATCAAAAATGATGTAACTTCAATATGTAAATCCAGACTGAAAGATCATCACACTAGCTTTTTTTTCACCCTGCTGTGTATAAAAAAATATGGTAGCAGGTTCTACCTCTTGCTATTTTTAGACTTCTTGCATGAGTGCTTTGAGAAACAGTGACAACCTGAACTTTCTATTTCCTTTCCAAATGAATAGCTTAACATCATTTTAATATTTTCACTTTAATTTTCTCTGTTTTGTTTCTTAAGCAGTATGTGTGTGCACTTTGGTTTTGTTTTTCTTATTCATTTTGTATTTGTTCATTTTCCTTTAGTGGAGACAGGGAGTGGGTTAAAAGGATACCACCTTTTCAAAGTAGGAAGACCCTACTTCTCTTTTTCTTTTCTTTTTTTTTTTTTTTAAAGATTTTATTTATTTATTTGACAGAGAGAAATCACAAGTAGGCAGAGAGGCAGGCAGAGAGAGAGGAGGAAGCAGGCTCCCTGCTGAGCAGAAAGCCCGATGTGGGGCTTGAACCCAGGACCTGGGATCATGACCTGAGCTGAAGGCAGCGGCTTAAGCCACTGAGCCACCCAGGCGCCCCGGAAGACCCTACTTCTGTTGCATACTTAATTCAATATCAGAAATATTTAAAAGAGCTTACCAATTAAAAAATACTCTCCAGCATGCTGTCAGCTACTTGAAGGCAGTACGGTAGCGTGGAAAGTGCACAAGCATTGGAATAATTCTCACAACTTACCACCTGCACAGTCTACTCAATTTATCAAGCTAGTCTCCTAGCTCCTAGAATACCTACCCCATAGGGAAGTGAGAATTCAATGAATCACTTGAACTCAGCTGCCAGCACATAGTAAATGTGTCCTTGTACCTTTAGTATACAGGCACAATATGTGTTGAATGACCTATAAACACATGTAAAACCAATTATAACCACATACAAGTCTTTATAATTGCACAGTAATATGTTTTCAATACTATCCCCAAAAGCATAAAGTTTAGAAAAGATAGCAGGTATGTTTCTTTTTAGCCTATAAAGCCTATTTCCTGGTAAATGTACAAATAGCTTAGTGTTTGCATTAACAATATTTTTGAAATAAAAGACAGTTACATAATAATAGAACCTACCTAAAATGTTCATTTTTTAAACTCTCCAGATTACAACCATTGTATGTGGTGAATATTAATTTAGTGTACATTTTTACTTGAACAGATGCATACCCCTATTTTCAAAGGGCAGTTTTTCAAAGATAAGAAGCCCGTGCATCTGAGTTCTAAGGAGCAATATTTTTTTAATTTTAATTCCAGTACAGTTAACATACAGTGTTAGATTAGTTTCAGGGGGTACAATATAGTGATTTGGTATTGCAAATAACATATCAAGAAGCAATATTGTATAGTGGTTGAGAATACATGCTTGGTATAGTAGAACCTAAGTTTGGATTCCAGTTCCTGAGCCACTTACCTGTGTAATCTTAGACAAATGACTTATGTTCAAAGCCATAGTCTATGCAACCCAAAGTAAAGATTCATAGGATTAAAGGATGAAAGGAACTAATACATTTAAGGTATTAATGCAATAACAAGGGTCAGTAAATAATGTTTTCATTCATTGGCTGTGGGAAAACACAATGTTGTGCTAACATGGCTGGCTTATAATTTCCATTGAATAAAGGTGTTAAAAAAAAATGAATGAATGAAAACAGCAATTCTCTAGGCTAAATATCCCCATTCCCTTGACCTGTTCTTTAAAGAACAGGTTTCTAGCTATCCTCTAAACTTCATCTGAAAAGGTGTTCAGGTAAATAGGTTTGGACCAGTACAATATAGAAGGTAACTCTTACACAAACCTCAACCTTTAAAAATATAACTCCTGTTAATGTAACCCCAAATCGATTCTGTTTAGTTTGGCTCTAGGTTTTACAGCAATGTGACACTAATGATTCATTTAATGCACCAATGATTCCTGTTTGGCATATTGTAGATTCCCAAATAATTTCAGTTCCATTCCCCTCATTTTTAAAATTCTTATCAAATGAAACACCAAGATTTTTGTTTCATTGTTATTGTTTGGTTTTGTTGTAGACATGCTGCTGCTAAGCAGCAACACTCACATATAGATTTTGAGATATAAAGTGCAGAATTGTATGTACATATTTAAATTTAATTTAATTCTATTTCTAACTTATTCCATTTTTCTGTTTAATTTTCCATTTAAATTTAATTTGCTGGAAATTTCTTAATCCTATTTTTATCATGCAAAAAGTTTGTCTTATTATTATATTATCTGCAAACTTTAGCACAATCCTTATATATCTTCATCCAAATATTTGATGAAACAGGATACAAACAGCTGTTTTGTCACTAGAAACATTCTGATTGAAATCAATTTACATTTTTCAAACTATAGGCCTCAACCCATTAGTGAGTAGTGAAATAGAATTAGCAGGTTGCAACCAGCAGTTTAGTGAAACAGAATGGAAAATATCAAAGTACGTATCTATGTACACATAGATATTATATACACATAGAAACACATAGATACACATAGATATGTACATGTGTGCTCACTAGGTAATCATGTAAAATGAATCTTTGACTGTAAATCATAACCAAAAGTTTGAAGATCACTGATTTAAGTTGTTTATAAGCACCGGTTTTGTATAATCCTTCAACTATTAAATAGTTACCACCTTATGCTAACAACTAGCTCATGATACTGTAACTTGTGCAGAAGAGTATCATAAGGGAACTTGACAACTGGCTAGCTGAAATCCAGATTCACTGTCTCTGTGTCTGGGAGAAATTAAAGTAAAAACTATAAAGAGGGGCGCCTGGGTGGCTCAGTGGTTAA